CCTGGGATCCCCTCTCACCTTACCTAAGCTTCCTGCACTGGGGCAGCCACGTGCTCCCAGCCCAGATACTGCAGCTGGGGCTTCCAGCTGGGGGCCAGGGCTGGGCAGGCCCTGCTGTTGTGGGAGCCTGCTGGGCTTCCCCTGGGTCATACTGCCCTTGGTTCCTGTCATTTTTAACAGGAACCAGGGGCAGAGAAATATTTATTTTCTACACTTTTTTTTTAGGGGCCCCGCAGACTGGATAGAATGGCCTCATGGGCCAGATCCAGCCCACGTGCTGTATTTTGCCCACCCCTGATCTATAACCATAGTTAATGGAATAATTCTGGTTCCAGCCCCAGGACTGCACAGGAGTTTTGAGTTGGCTCTGGTGCAGTCTTAGGACTGAGACTGTCAATCCCAGCTCCCTGCACTGCATGGGAGTCTCACACTACTATGATGCAGTGCTGGGGATGGAATGACAATCAGCTGATTGTTGGTCTCAGCCCTGAGAGCAAACTTGAATCTGCAACTGGCTCCAGTCCCATGGTATCAGTGGGATCCTGCAGCAGGGGCAGCACTCTCTCCTGGGCTTGGCTCCCTGTGCCTTCCTCTGGCATAAATCTGGCTTGGACAATTACTGTGAGACTGCTCAAAACATGTCCTAACATTTTAGCCATGCTTACTACCATCTAAATAAAACATGTGTTACGTGTCTGTGTGACAAGGTTCTTTTACTGCAGGTTTAATACCATTTGGGTGTTTCCTCTGTACTGGACCCTTTCTAGGCAAAGAATGCCAAGAAGATCCTGTATGTGTATTGTGCGTACAAGACAGAGACTTAAAGATAGGGCATCTAGCTTTGTGTGCAATATCCTTGCTTTTAGAACTGAAAAACTCTTATGGATCATAGAATTCCATTGGAAAATGCTGATTTAATGGAACCCTGTTCCATGGCAATGTGTTGATAAGTTGTGATGAAAGCCAGGCAGACCGGCCTGGTTTCCTGACAGCTTGCCTACCAGCCAGCCCACTGGCCAATTGGCAGTCCGTCAAGAAAATTGAAAACTCAGCTGGTTGGGTTCCTGGCTCCCCTGCTGTGTGGATAGATGGGGACGTCTCCTTGACTCTTTGGTTGCCCTGAATTTTTTAATCTCACTTTGATGCTCTAATCGTTCTTTTTCTTAATCTAAAACATCTATTTTGCAAAAAGTTTCTCGATTTTTTTTACTCTTAGTTCCAGTTCAGAGTGAAAAAAATAATTGCACTTGTGAAATTTTCCATGGAGTGAAATTCCAGGTCCCTCACAACTAGAATAAACACATTATGTTCAGATGCTTCATGTTGCTCACTTGTGTGTATGTGTGTCTGTGAAAAAATACCTTTTTGGGGGTGGGGGAAGGGACTAGTTTCTCCTGGTAAAAATGTTGCTTTACCATTAGGTTATAGATGCTTAGGTGATAAGCATCTATAACCATAGCCCAGTGGAATGATGCTATGATCTGTCTATAGTTAGTGGCATGTGTGTGAAATTCTAAAGCTTTAAGATAATTCCCACAAGATCTTTTATACTTTAAAAATTTCACTTTTGCAGAAATCAAAATCTAAATACTAGAAATTGGCAAAAACAAGAACAGAAAGATTGATTTTTACTGAAGAGTTCTGACTGACCTTAATAAAGGGGAGAAGAGGAGTGGGGATGGGGCAGATGGAACCTGAGGCCAACAAAGAGACTAGAAAAACATCTGAGA